TTTCCTGTACTTTTAGATTCATGAGGCGTACTTGTGTGTATCTGAGACATTAGAGTGCTGTTGCTGTTTTTAGCCTCTTTCCTCCAGGAGCCAGCCTTGCTGCATGGCTGAATAGAACATGCACTGCTTCCTCCTGACTACATGGATTTGTCAGGGATTTTTATAAATAGCTCAGCGGCAGCACGTGTTTGCACCATACTGCAGACAAAGAATGCAGCTCACAACAGCCTGGGAGATACAGATTTGTCAAAACAGAGGAGGAGACACAGGGAGAGAAGACACAACAGGAGGAGGGAGAGCTCTGTTATCACGTTATTGACAGCTTGGCACACACCAAACAGACTTATCAATATGTCCACGTCTTCCCTCATCAACTTCATATGATGACCTTTGCCTGCTAAAAAAGGCACACGCTGACACATATACGTATTGAACCGTAATAAATTATTGAAGGCTGGCTTTGGGTACTAATATTTGGAGTAAAACTGCCGTCCCATGTCCCAATATTTAATATTACAATTTTTATATATTCATGCCAAAGATGAATCAAGACCACTTGTGTATATGTTAAATTCAAAGCATCAATTGCAGTCTGACGGGGGTTTGTTGATGCATATACATTCTGTGTCAAATAACCACTATTATTTACGTATTTCTATTATTACGCTATCTAAATATGCAGACCATGAATGTGGCTACATACAGTAACGGCTGAAGGAAGTGGAGCTTTATTTTAATTATTTTCTGCATTTTATCTTGCAGTCAAACAGCCCTTTCAAAGTACTACTACTGTATTACTACACACAAGAGCAACTACGGCATGCAGTGTATTACGCTGGGAACACACTGCCTGCATTGTGTGTATGGTGGTGACTCTCAATATGACTATCAACAGGTCTTTTCTCTGTCTGTTTTTTCCTGGGAAAAGCGTGCGTCACGCGTGATAAATAGGCACCTGTATCTCTACATTATACGATGCAGCTGCGAGGTGTCACACAGGAAGTGTGTCTGTGCTAACCTGTTAACGTTTGCGCCAAAATGAAAAGTTCTGCAGACGCCACTCACACCTCACACATCCAGTGTGTTCCTGGCCTGCGCTAAGCTAACAGAGCTAAGCGTAGCTGATTTTCAGAATAAAGCGCACACTTCAGCTGATATTGGCATCCAAAAAAAAAAGTATTTAAAACATGTTTTCGCAGCAGTACATCACCCAGCTTCTGTGCTGTGTGGTACCGTGCTTCTATAAACTGGTAGGGAGCCGATCCGTGTCTTCTGCAAGTAATACACTGACAGTATAACTACTTCACACAACCCAACGTTAAATAACCCAAACTATCACTTTAATAAAGACAAAGTTAAAGTAAAGACAAGATCAGCAAGGCTGAGGCAAAGCAAGTTTATTTATATAGCATTTTTCAACAACAAGACGATTCACAGTGCTTGAACATAAGACAAGATAAAGATCAAGACAAGATACGGTTGTATAAAAAGGTCTGGGCACCCCTGGGCATATTACATATTCTCTATTTTCTTCAGTGAATATAAGTAAGTACAACCCCTGCTGCAAACAGTGCATTCACATTTGAAAACAAGCCTAGCTTTTAATACCTGTTAGTTTCTATTTCATAAATTTGAAATTGTGGCAAAAGTTTGGAAAGAGTCTGTACATTTTTAGCCTTCTTTCTCAGCAGGGCTTTAAAAATAGCAACATACCCTGTATTAGTATTAGTGGTACTGACTGCTGTCACAGTGTGAGAAAGTCATTCTAACAATGCTCTTTTATAACCTTCCACAAGTTTATGGAGGAACCTGACGTAAAACTTTCTCTCTCACTCATGAACCTCAGTAAATGCATAACGTATTCATATTCTCCTATACTTAAAAATATCTCTGCCCATTATTTTTGCAAACCTACGCTGAAAATAACTATTCATTAACAACTGAAGTGCATCTTGAGATTATGACTCACATAAATGAAACTCAAACAGCTCTTCCAGTCCAGCGCATCTGTTTTATACATAACATCTGATACATAATATGGGTGTTTCTGGAACAGGCTGAATCATATCTACAGCGCATCTGAAGCAAGCTTCAGTGTTTTGCTTTCTGAGATTTATGGAAAAGCTTCTGAAAGAGCATGTAGACCATTAACGCTCCACTGAAACCCAAACTCCTCACTCTGGAGTGTGGCAGGTTTCAGGCTTTTTTAAACTCATTTAAAGACACAATCAGAAACCATATATATATATATATATATATATATTAGTGGGACCAAAAGTTTTCTCTCTCTCTTTCTCACACACACACATTCACACACACCTCAAAACAACCTGTCAGAGGTTGATGGAGGACATAAAGTGAAATTCATGTTGTGGATAAAGCACATTAATTCTGGCAAATCGCTTTCGGATGGCAAATAATGAACGCTACATTTCATGCAATGTTCCCAATTCAAGGTCCAACCATCAAAACAATCCGCTGCTCAGACTCTCTTTCTGCATTGACACCATCCAAGAGAAAGGAATACTTGGAGGTGAAGGTTTTTTAAGGTGAATGGGCAGATTCTATGAATTGAAAGATGGACAAACAGGCTGTACATCGTCTGACTCATTTCTTAAACTTCTCAATGTTGATTAGATTAATTTTACATAACAGATCTGTTTAAGTCTTACTTTGACATTTTTTTGAAAAACACTTATTTGCTTAGTGGAGGAGCTTTAGATAAATAAATTGGTATCACTCTAATGTCCGTATGGTGTAAGTATGAAGCTAAAGCCAGCAGCCAGTTCGCATAGCTTAGCATAAACACTGGAAACAAATGGTGAATTACCGTCTTTACATATTGTTTTTTGTATGGAATAAACAATATTCTGTACAGTGTTATTTAGTTAGTAGATGTGCCATTAGACAGATTTTGTAACTTTTGGACAGAACCAGGCTAGCTGTTTACCCGCTTCCAGTTGTTGTGCAAACAAAGCTAAGCTAATTGGCTTTTTAGCCATTTAACGGAAAGGGATGAGAATAGTATTGATCTTCTCATTTAACTGCCACAGAGCAAATAGGCTTATTCTCAAACCTAGGCCAAAAAGAAAAGTACAATCCTGACAGGCTTTTTTTTTTAAAGTTTGAAATGTTCTTGTTAGAGAGGAACAACATATATATATATATGTATATTCCATTTTAAATATTCATTCATACAGGATCACTAAAATACTTTCTTGTGTAAAGGATAAGGAGCCTAGATTTAGCATTAATGGCAAATAAAAGAGATTTAGATGCAGAATTCATGTATTCATGCATTTGTTATATATCCCTGGATTTCCTTTGTCATGGCCATTTACATCCAAAAGTGAAGTTTGGAGGAATTAACATGAATGTGTTAAGATGTTATTTTTGTCAATCTAATGGTTTCCAGTCATTTTTCCTGTGCAATAGACCTATTTTTACAGAAATGTCTGGCATTTGATGGAGCATCTTTACGACTATGCCCCATCTGGAGTGACTCATGTGTCCCGGAGGCAGAACACTGACAAATAGTACATGACAGCATCAGTGTACAAATAAGATGGGACAGATTGTGATGAAAGATGGGGATATGGTTCATTTCAATGAGTTCAAATATCCACTTGAGAGAGGAAATGTTTTTTTTAAACACATTCACAATTAAGCACCATGTAAAAGTCTATACATAAAAATAGAATAATCCATTTTCCATAACCAGCAAATAAACAAACGTACAGACAAACAACCACATATTTGTATTTAGTCCATGAGCTGGGTATCCACACAGAGCTATGCAGTATATTGTGAGCTAATACAAGCTGGATAATGTCTATAATAGTGAAATTCTAAGAGATACTGCTGCCTCCATTTTTCAGCCTCCGTAGAACTCGGTTACAGTCATGCAAAACTGCGTAGGGGGTTTTCTCACACTCTGCAAACTATGCTCAAACAAGAAAGCTTATCAGGATGTGAAGTTGGGCATCAGGGATGTTTGAAGCTCCCTCCTGAATGAGGCAGAACCATACTGAATCAGCTTTTTGCATATGAAGTTGCACCTGTCGTCTACATCCAGCCCAGGCCTGTCCAGTCAGCCGGCCTTATCTCTCTGCAGAATTTTTTTTTTTTTTTTTTTTTTATCAGTTTATTCAGCAGGTCTTCCTACATTTAAGAACTAATACATAGTCTAAACATGTAAAAGGGGCAGCCCGACTACATGAAGCCAAAGCATATGATTAGCCACCGTAGCAACAGCTAAAATATGACAGCCGTGCTCTTGATGGTGCTGAGCTTACAGCTGAAATGCATTTTTAATTTGCACATGATTTGTCTTCAACTGCAAGTCGCTAAAAACCCTTAATGGGGTTCAAATTCAAAACAACTGTGTCTTGCTTATGGCCCCAAATCTGCTGAAACAGTTTCGGTTGCACTTTCTACATCTATATTTTTGGAGCTGGCTCTTTGTTTCTAAAGGAGCTATTTGTACACTTTGCTAGCATAAGTATTAACAGCTGTTTACTTTCCAATCGAGAAGAAATGTTGCAAGTGAAGCATCAAACTTCATTCCTTTACTGACACCATCCAAGAGAAAGAAAAGCAACATAACTCTTTTAACTCTCCTTTATATGTTTTTTCTTCTACTGAAGTTAGCATGCTAACCAGCTAGCCCCGGCCCATCTCGTCACTTCACGATACCGACTTACTATAGCCTTTAATCTGCCCCGAAGACGAAGCACTGCTCAGATGCAAAAAGCTAAAGCTAAAGCTTTTGTCAAGCAACAATCACCACCACCTGCTCCCAACAAGAAACCATGTTCAGCGGCAGAGAGAACTTACAAATAACCCCTTTCAACCTACTGAGCACAACCTTGCTTCTCAGTGCAGTGGAAAACAAAAGACTGCATACTGTAGATGGGCTGTATCTTTTCTTTGTCATATGCAGGGAATTGTAGCCAGATAATATTAAGAATTGTGTGTTTTTTTTGTTGTTTTTCCTCCAGCAGGATCTGCACCATGAAGACCAGACTAGGCTGCCTGTCCAACAAATCCGACTCCTACAGCGACTTCTCCGAGTTCCTTCCTCCTGCCCACGAAACTACAGCCAGGTGTCTGAAGTGAGTCTGCCAAAACGTCCTGTGTCCGCTTCTGTGGGACTGCACATTTTGAACGAATTTTTAAACTCAAGCTTCTGTTGTGTGAAATGACACTCTCGATTGGCCTTCCAAGTTTCCTTACATGTTATGGAGCTGTGTCCTTTTTAAGATATTTTGTCAGCCAGCATGCCAGCATAGATTATTCAGTTCAACCTTCTGCTGTTCATCATACAAAACACTTACAGTACATGACACAATATTACTATGTTGTAGTTTTTAGAGCTGTTTTTTACTCTTTCTGGAAACAGCCTTGACACTTATTATAGCCATTTTTAATATACAACCACAGAAAAAATATGTGTCTCAGTGTGATTAAATTGGTTTAACTTTAGCTGTCTATTGTTCTTCCATAATCAGTGTGATATATTAAACACAACCATTTGTGCAATTGAGGTCAGTGATTAAGCTTATTAATGTCTTTAATTTGAAAAAAAAAAAAACATACAGGTGATAAATTAAAGCCTCATGATGATTCCAAGAAAAATGCATTTTCCCTCCCCATCTCAATCAGTGCAAACACTTCCCAGCTACGTGCTCTAACACATCATCACATCAGCTTTACTGGGGAAACCTGTGGCAAAGGTCTGTCATTTTTAAGATGCATGATTATTGGGCTTTTCTGATCAGCAACAGTGCTTTTCACAAATAGTCTAATGTTCTATACCGAATCTACGAAAGCGCAGGGGTACAATAATGTTAATGTATCCCTTTAATCTCCAAGATGGTGTGTTATCTCACCGTGTTTTCACCTCTTCATAAAGAACATTAAAATGTAGACAAAGGTCAGCCATTGTTCTCCTCCCTTCCCTCTTGTCATCACTATGTAAATATGACTAAAATATTACAATTACTTTTACAGCCCTTGAGCAAAAGAAGCGCTGCGAGCAGGAGATAAATCATACATTAAACTCAGCTGCCCTTCAATAATACATACAGTACCATCTTGTGTTAAAAATGCATGAAAGCACAGTGGTTGGTTAGCATCTCACTCAGGCAATTTCCTCTTGCTCTCCCTCCATCAGACTATCAACGGATGAGGTGGTTCGATGGTCTGAGTCGTTCGATCACCTTCTCTCTCACAAATGTAAGTGGACAGTTTCTATTTTTCACATCCCTACAGCACAAGTCACACACAGCCAGCAGCAAGAAAATTAAAGACACCTAAATGTAGCCGTGAAATAGTCCATTTCCTGTTTCTTTAATAGCTTCTATTTTCCACTCGGTGCAAGTAAAGTCCATTTTCCTCCTCCAAGCCCATCTTATGTAAGGCTCTCATTTCTGTGTTGTAAGAACTCCTTACCACATAATGACTCACATACTTGTCTGTGACCTTCCCCTTGGACCAAACGCACAGCACAGACTCACTTACATGCACTGTTTGTGCATGTACACAAACAGGTCGCACATTTATTTTCTACCTGCTAACTGCTATAGATATGTGACGTGGCATCAGTGACACCAAACACACTGAACTGACAGATTAAAGAAAAAAAACACACGTTGATTCAGAGCACATCCACTTTGTGAGATTTATTAATTGAAATCATTTATTTATTGGAATCATCATAAACACTGAGCACACTCTTGTTGATTAAAGTCAACATGGGCCTGCTATGAAAACCACTTTTTCGTGTTCAAGATGTTTGTGTTTTTCTGAGCCCTGGAAAGTCACATTTAAAACAAAAATTCGTATGGAAACCTGCAACCTGTGTGCTCAGATTCCTAAACTGTGCTTATGGCTTTAAAACTTTATTGGTAAAACTGTTGATATATAATCTCTGATAGCCATTTACATCTAGAAACCATGGCTCAACAGGTAGCACAAGCAGAATCCAAGGAAATAAACGTCACAGCAGCAGATACAGTAGCCTACACTGTTTCACTCACAAGCAAAGTTAGAACCAAAGATGGAGACAAAATGAGGTCCTGCTGTACATTTATAGCTTTGATTACTGGACTGATTATAGTTACGACTTGGGTTGATTTATGATCAAACTATGTCAACAACTCCTCCAACCTGAACAACCGTATAGCTTGTTGTTTTTTTTTCAACCATCTTATATGACCCATTGCAGTGTCTCCTGAAATAGCGCCCCTACGGCGGCAGGTGTACCGGACCTTGGTTGTCATGGTTACAATAGGCACATGGACTGCACCGACAGTGATGTACCTACCTCGCCATGGTTACTATAATAACGGTCATGGCTTGGTTAGGTTTAGGAAAAGATTGTGATTTGGGTTAAGATAAGTGCTTCCTCACGATTAAACGATCTTTGTTGTCATAGTTACAATATAAACTGCTGATTTCACATGGGAATCGAACACCGCTCCCCTGTGTCATATTCCTGTGTTGACCCATCCATCCACCACAACCTCACCTCAATATCTTTCACTCAGTCAGTATGTGCACATGTACGTGCATCAAGCACATAGTTGACACTATACACCTTCCTGCTGAATGCAAATGGCGCTTGTATTATTTCCTCAATTAATTGACATAATTATATGGTCCATAAAATTTCAGAAAATAGTGAAATGTGCAGTAGTTTCCTAGATGATGTTATGTCCTCAAATGTCTTGCTTTGTCGGACCAACTTCCAAGTATATTAAATTTGCAATAATAGAGAAAAGCAGTTCATAACGTTCACATTAGAGAAGCTGGAACCAGTGGATGTTTGGTGTCTTTGTTTGACAAATACTTGAAATGATAAATCGATTATCGAAATAGACGCTGCATTATCAAAATAGTCGTTAATTGACAAGAAAACGCCACAGTGCTCCTTTCTGGATTTACCTTCTGATCCAGTTTCTGTCAATAAAACAACAAGTTTGATCTTTACACCTGGAATCGAGTCCAATGTCAACAGGAGAAATTATGAGAATCTGCCTCAAAACAAAGAGTAAATGCAGATTTTAAAAAAAGTGCGACATGATAGTTTATTATCCATTTCATCTCCACCCACTTCCAACCCCCTTTGCAGATTTTACAGTGCTTGTTGCCTAATTGTCTTGATCTGCAACCAATCCATTTTTCATACTTTTTTTTCCATGTTTTTGTGCAAATATTTGAAGCAGATTGCTTTAGATGGACGCCTCTGGGATTTCTGTTTTGGTACTGTCCTGCGCGAGAATTCTTCATGTGAGACTTGAGGGGTTTAGAGACTAAACTCTAATCACAGATATTCAGTGTGCTGTTCTGACTGCCAACACTTTTTAAATAGTCCTTCGATCTGTATCCAACTCAAGCAAACAGGCCAAAAAAACAAAAAAAACAAACTCATAGTATCTGCTTTGTCATTAACAGAGGTTACGTTTCAAAGCTTTGGAACAAACTGGGAAATGAACCACTAACAAAGGGTTTCGAGGCAGCTAGCCTTTACTGAAAGAAACCCTGTGTGCATCATCATGGACATTATCTATTTTTCTTGGGGTCGATGTTGTGACATAACGCATTGGTTTGACATATAAGAAAGAAAAGCTAATGTCGCCCACGGGAAACATGAAGTTTGGTAGAGAGCCAAGAATAGAGCCTTCCCCTGGCGGAGATACACCTGCGTATCCTGTTTCAATTGACCAAGCATTAGATAGGTGAACTACAACATGTACATCAATATACACACACACACACACATACATTACATAAGTAATGTCAAGGCAATAGAACACAGTACTGAATGTTCCCTTGATAGGATATTGCATTCACATTGGCCTTAATTTGATTTAAAAGGAGGGATAGTGTATCACACTTAGATCTGACTGCATTCTAGTGTCATCCTTCAGTGTGTAAAGCTGATTGTGTGCTTGCTGGGGGCCTGACCTGTGCACAGTCAGCCGTGACATATCTTGTTAGTACGAGAACATTATGTGAGGTTGACAAGCGCCACTGCTGTGCTGCTTTACGAGCATATTGTATCAGGGCAACAAGTTTGTATTTTGGCCAAGGTCGTTATGCGGAACGACGTGAAAACAAACCAAAATGTCAGCGTTTCCAGAACCTAGCACATGCACTCTCTTTGTTTTTAAGCTTAATAATGTTTTTTTAAGTAATATCATGGCTGGTACCAAGTGTGCCACAAGATAACGCCTGAGTCTCCAGCTGCACTGCATTGTCCTCGTCACTCCCAGCTGCTCCTAATTGCTCTGATGTGTTTAAGCTTGCCTCTGTGGACAGTCTCCTGTCAGTTCATTAAGTTCCCCAGCAGCACTGACTTGAGTTTCCTCAGCTAGAGGCCCTGCTAAATTCGTCTTGAACTACCTGTAACCTGCCCTCGATTCTTCAGCCGTCAGCCTGCCTGCGTTATTTATGCCCCTTTCCTGCCTTCCATCAGCCATTCCCGCTGTCGGTCAGCCCTCCCCAAACTACTCCTTGCTTTACCAAGCTACAGACATTTAGCCCCCCTCCTTTACAAATAAACTGTAATAATATATAAATGAAAGCTACATAATCACACCAAATAGACTACCACAAGAATATTTTCTTTTACCACTAGCTTGATGGGGTAATGTTTTGATGAATCTGTCCAAATTTTGTTTGTAGTTTGTGGCATGAGCATGTGGCTGTTCTGTGCATCTCCACTGATTAGCAGTTGGAGGCACTGTGCACCACGCAGGGCGGCAATGCAACAACAGAGGCAGTAATGAAGAAGGAGAAGGAGAAGTGCACAGGACACCTAACCTGTCCTATGACTACAGAGATGCTACCAAAATACTGGAAATGCGTATTGGAGCAGTGATGTGTCAGAAATTAGCTAAATGCATGAATGACCATGAATGTATTTTATTTATTGTGGACCACATTTCATGATAAACTGACTTTTAAGTTAAGAGGCTAAAAAGAGTTGATTGTTTGGGAACAATGATCCTAGAGACTAAAACCATTGAATAACCAACACTGTGCCATAGAAACTACACTTCGCAATTGCATTGTGATGGCAAATGTAATCAATGGCTGGATTATTTTGACATGTATGTTTTTTTCTTTTTTTAATGGATGGATTGATTTACAGTCCAGTAGCCACCAGGACATGGTTGGGCTGGCTGGTGGGTGTACAAAGCATGTGATGTTCACACCAAAGACTGGTAAAGACATCCAGATTCCATCTCTGGTTTAGGCAACAAAAGCACCTTGGTTAAAGATAGGGAGGAGTCGTGGTTTAGGTTAAATGTAAATAAACGTGTCTACAGTCATTGAACCTTTTTCGTATTAAAATAAGTGCTGTGAGACTCCATTTTTAATAGTTAAATAATGCTGAAGTCGCAACAATCGGATATTGTTCTGCAAGATCTGATATTTTTGGTGGGGGAAAAAGTTAGCAGTGAACATCAACCTGGCAAATAAACAACATTTCCTCATTTTTATTATGTTTCCTTCAAAGCGTATTTGTTGCAAATTGATTCAAGTATCCAAGAGGGAACATTTTAAAAGCTCTAGATTTCCCAATGCTGTAACATCTGCTCTCCACTTGTGTTATTTAGGGATTTCTTCTAACCCTGTTTGTGTATATAGCCTTGTGCATATTGTGCAACCTGCATGTTGTTGTGTGTGTACACTCGTGAGAAAGTGTGTGTTTTCTGTATGAGCAATGTTGTTGCATATGCACAGATAGACCAACCCCTCTGCTCTGCTTTTGTTAGGTAAACAGCAGAAACGAGAACAGTGGAAATAACATGTCAACGTGACACGGGCCGGTAGAAAAACATGGCCTTCCTCTGCGTTATCATCAGTGGGGAGTACATTAATTGATCACTTATCATGACTGAAGACAGAAAAAAGATCTTTGTGGGAGTACTTTTGTTCTGATTTGTTTTGTGTTCTTAAGATAATATAAGAGCCCTTTTTCCCGCTTCTAGGAACAACAGTGTGTACCCACTGGAAAAATATCAACATAGGACGAAGGGTATTATCACATATCACATGACTTAAGCTATTCTATGCTGAAAAAATAGCACATCCATAGAGGAGGGAGTGCTGCCGGGAAATAGGAGCTACATTGGGATATCAATCATGATTTTGTTGTGTGTGTTTTTCGTTACCTCCTCCTTTTTTCTTTTTTTTTATTTACCATTTGATTCATTTTCGTCTCTCCAGATGGCCTGGCTGCCTTCCGGACATTTCTCAAGACGGAGTTCAGTGACGAGAATATCGAATTTTGGATGGCCTGCGAGGAGTACAAAAAAATCAAGAGCTCCACCAAGCTGGTGTCAAAAGCAAACAAGATCTTTCAGGAGTTCATTGATGTTCAGGCACCAAGAGAGGTGTGTGTGTGTGTGTGTGTGTGTGTGTGTGGTACACATTATAGAATTTTCTCTATCATCCACTCACTGATGGTTTACCAAAAATATACTTAATTTATGGAACATAAGCTCATTAGGTTTAAGTATTTTCTCAATGTTTTAACCTTTTCTTTTTTTTGGATCAGTCATTGCTATGGTTACGGTTTGGTGATGTTTAATGATCCAAAACCACTTTCTTAAGGTTATAGTTAAAAGAAAAGTTGTTGAGGTGATGTAAACATTGGAATTAAGGTCCAAGTCCAAGTTGCATAGTGTTTTCTTGTCAATCCACTCCAATCACCAACCTATGAGATTCTGTGGTGCTATACAAACATCACACTACCTCCTACCTTTTTTAGTTTCTGACAGACAGCAGCCATAATTCCTAGAAGTCCCCACCAGAAAAATGGATTTGAATCATAGGCTGTAAATAAAGATGTGACGTTTCTGAAGAGTGCTTTTGAAGCTCAGAGTGAGCTGCTTCGCCATCACCATCTTGGCAGTGCCTGACTCCGCATTACTCCCAGCTAATCCATAAATGGGCAAAGAGGTGGAGCACATGTGGAGCTGAGACTTTAGTTAATGACAGGCATATGTTCACTCACCTGTCACTCAAAGCGGCACACCCTCAATTATACATACCTTTTTAAGCCTTACTGAAATTTTAATCGGTGGAAATAAACTTCAAAGACCAAAACCATTTTGTATCAGGCTGTAAACATGTTTATTTCTGCTGTACAGCTGAGCATTTTACCATGAGAGTCAATGGAGATTGACTCACTTTTGGAACCAGCCTCAGGTGGTCATTAAAGGAACTGCAGTTTTTAGCATTTCATTTTTCAGTCTGTGGTTGCCGCTTGATTTCAAAGGGGCAAATGATGTGGTAATTTTTTCCTCAAACAAACTTCAAATGAGCTGTGCTCCGCTGTCTACAGTTTAGAAGCTGCAGCATCAAGCAGTCAATGAGCGAGTTACTCTAGAACAGCATAGAAAATAAGTAGGCAGGCACTCAAATGTGCACACACCTGCTTGTGGAAAATCACTTTTAAAGATCTTACTGTTCAGCTGCTGTAGATCATGCAGAAAAAAAAAATCTTCAGGGAGCAGGTAACTCATAGAGCTGGTTCTGAAGTGTTTGGTCAAAACAGACCTGATAATAAAAGCATAGGCGTTAGTTACACTCACACACACTGTTGCTATGTGTCACTGTCATGATATCATTTATTGTGAGTGGCCCGAGTTATTTGCTCTCCTTCTCCTGGCAGGTCAACATTGACTACCGCACCAGGGAAAAGACCAAGCAGAGCCTGGAGGATCCGTCCCCGACCAGCCTCAACGAAGTCCAGGCTAAAATCTACAGCCTCATGGAGAAAGACTCCTACCCACGATTCCTCAGGTCCAAGATGTACCAGGACATAGTGAACAGGGCGCACGCACAAGGCCAGCGGCGGTCTGTTTGACTGAATCTGATGAAGATGACAGTGGACACAAAAGTGGACCTATACTGTAAATCATTCATTACCCTTTTCACATCTCTGAATATACTGTGAATCTGCAAGGATGGGGCGACATGCTTGACTGTTTCCTTTTGTCTACACCAGCTCCATGCATGCAATCCCTCTAGATAAGATGTGTCTCAATGGACTGCACTGTACAGAGAGAGAGAGCGAGAGAGAGAGACTGGAGGAGGATAAGCTAATTATTTTACCTCTACTTGGTGCTGGGTGATAGAAAATATTATCATGATAAAAATGACCATATTCTGCGATAACGATATTTATTACAATATAATCTTGTGCTTTTCTTTTTCCATCAGTCATATACCATGTATTTTTAAAACTTTCTTAAAATGAAATCCAACAGTTAATTAATGAAATGGTGTGAGTTTAGAACAAAATGCCACAAATAGATCTTGATAGTAAAGCGATATATATATTTTCGTGTGTGTGTAACTTACATTGTTTGTTTTAGGCACTGTCATTGGCATAAATTTAATGCTTATCCAAAAAGTATAAAGCAATTAATGAACATTTCAATATGGAACAATAACAACAGAAAGTACTAATTTTACGTGGATCCTCTGGTTGTGGCTCATTATATTTAGATGCTAAAATAAATGTAGCTGTTTTAATGACATATATGGTAAAATGTTCAGACTATGAAATAATTGGAAAAAAATGTCAATGACTGACATAAGAACATTTTCTTTTATGAACAATTTGACCATCTTCAATTGAACTTGCAATCATTTGTCATTTGTTCTCCTCACATGTCCCTTATATTTGTACTTTGGAAGAGGGTAGACCTCTTTCCATTGACATATTAATGTAAAATTGGCTGGTGGAGCGAGATTTATAGCCGGGTGGATTGACTCGTGTTGTGTTCCACTGACCCAGTATTGACTTGATTATACTTGATTGATTATATAAATAAGTAAATTGAGATAATTATCGTTGTCACTTTATTGCCCAGCACTACCTCGTACTTATCTTCAGTTCTTTGTGGAATAGACGCTGTCGTACGCAGGTGACTTAGACCTGTTGTGGTAGTTCGTGTTTACACTGAAAAATGAAGTGAGTGAACACTTAATATCTGAAACTGTGCCAAACTAGATTGCACTTAGATATTGATTATAGCTACATAATCCTGTGTATTGTAAACTCTTGCAGGTATTCTACGTGATATTTAAATGTGGAGTATAAAGGCAGGGTTGGGTTCATTTTTCTGCTTTCAATTCACTCAGTTCAGGAAACGAAAATAGAAGCTGTTGTATATGGTCTATGCAGAGCATCCTATTGGACAAGCGGCCATGATTATGTCATATCTTTTAAGTTATGTTTGATTTAAGAACTAAAGTACCATAATTAAATGCAATCATCTTTTTTTCCTTTTTTAAACCACTGCTCAACATTGGTTTAAAAAATGTTTTACAAAACGACTCATTATTTGCATAAAGTTTGAAAGTGCTGACTAAATAGTAATTGAGATACATTACATTAATTTGCTAAAATGCACAGTATATTAAATCCTCAGTGCTTCATTAAGCTAAATATAAAATATTTTCCTCCCAATCCTGTTAATAGTGAATTGAAAGCAACAGCCCAACCCCCTCATAGAATCTGCTCTGAGTTGAAAAATGTTGTGCAAATTTTTTATTTTCAGCATGATGCAATACTCAGAATAACTAGATATTACTTGTACAGTATGTGATGAAAATTACTGCAAAAAAAACCTTAAGTCTAGAATATGTCAGTGACATGACAAAAGTGTTCCTGCGGCATTTGCACTCCTTTTAAATAAGCTGATTGAAAAAGTTTTCCTATAGTCTGTTGGGGGGGGGGGGCAAATGTTTTCTGTATAGTGCATGTGTACTGTATAGGCCAAACTATTTGAAATACAGCAAAAACTGGCTGAACAACATATCACCCTGTATGGTATGTTACTGTGTTCCACATGAATGTAACCTCACCCCCTATATTTTGTGATTAAAATGAAATCTGCATCTATATTTTGTGCACTGCGTGACTTCACTCTCATAATACCAAAAGCGTATTAGAGCCATGAAAATGCATTCATCCACTGATCAGACGGATTGACCTTGATTCCACTCCCGTTTTACAAGAGCGACAAAACAAGACATTAAAAATATCTAATAACTTGAAAACCCGGTCCTCCGATCTGTGGCAATTCACCACTCTGTTTCAAAAAGAGATGTTAGGATTGTAATGTCCATTCACCAATCTGTTGGGAAAACTAGCCAGCAAGAATGAAAACTAAAATTAAAATGACTGTCATTTGCAAAAGCAATTAACTTACTTTGTTGTTCTCCAGAGTACTTCTAAAACTTTACATCTTGACACATCCTAGGTCGGATGTTGCAGCTGGTTTATCAGCGATGAGTCACACACAATAAATTTATAACTAGCTGTGCAAAGGAGTCCTATTTTACTCCTCTTTCTACTTTTAGAATGAGGAAAAAACAGACTAATGATCAAATATTCATGCCACAATTCATTTTATTTAGCAGCAGCAGTGCTAGGAAAGCAGCACTCTCTTGAAGTATCTGGGGTAACAGTGCGATGAAGTCACCCACCGTGACATTACACATCCACTGACTTGACTTTCACTGCTGTTGTCAACGTGTTAGTCACTCAGGGAATGAAGGGCAAAGTGAATGTGGGACAGCGCCGTGCTCAGTAGACAAAACACAAGCCTATCTGGGCCAGTAGACAACAAGCACAGCCAACACACATCTCACTGAGGAAGTGATTACAAAGTGAGCGTCATATCAGGATGTGATGATGATGGTATAACTTAATCTATGGTTATGAAAGTGTAAACTACAGTCATGTAATTGCACATCAGAGTGAGTTAACCATGTGTAGGCGCAGTTTCCTTTTTTGATAAGATCAGTTATCAATGATGATGCTGCCTTGGTGCTCTGCAGTTGTAAATACACTGTCTCTCACGTAATAGGTTAAAGGTCACATATGTGAGATTTCCATGTCTTTTTTTGATTATAAAGCAGGTCTAGGTTCTATATTAATACTGTGAAAGTATCAAAGCCTCAGTCCACAGGGAAATGCACACAGCCTGTATTCAGAAACTGAGCCTCAAAACTAGCCGTCAGGACTTCTGGAACTTTGTGATGTCACTGCCCTTAGCCATGCCCCAAGCCCCGCCCACCTTGAACTAGGATTTTGTGTCTCTTCGTGTTTTACCTAAAATATGCTATTTTTTTCAATGACTCAGAAAACCAAGTCAGCCAATCAGAAGCGAGGCTCTGGTTCATCGACCTGTTGTTGCTAGAGCTCCAAAGAGAAGCCTGAGAGAGGAGATGTAAAACTACATTTGGTTCTTAAAACCACAAATATATCTTCTTATGGATCAACACTGAAAAGCAAACTCATGAACTGCTTTACATACAGCACTGCTTTTCTGTGCTAACCCTGAATTTCAACAAGGAATTTTATCAGTAAAGCCTTATTTTCTGCTTGACCACAAAGCAGCTGTTGAGTTTAACCTCATTCTCCCTTCAATTGACTATAACAAAGAAAAAGGCTGGATTCATGAGGTTCCTCATTGACAGCACTCAGTGCTCAACCTCTATCCACTTCTATTTTCTCTCTGTAACTCTCTCTCTCTCCTTCTCTCTGTATCTCTCTCCTCTCTTAATCAATAGTAAACATAATACCCATGGTGCAGCGCTGCAATGACTATGGATCATGGGGAGGATGAGAGAGGCAGTTGATTACTCCACCTGTTTGGCTCTGAGACAAACAACAGAAGCAGTCCAGGAAAAACAACAGAACAAATTGGATTGTCTCTGTTACAACAACCTGAATTTAAATTTATTTATTTTTTATTAGATGATGCACCGGTCTCACATGACTGTGATGATGTAAGATGTAAATCTAAAGCTCAATTCATCAATATGTTCCACACCGAATCTGATGACCTTATGCAGTGTGTGCACAAGGGCTTGTTTGCAGTAATAAATACACAAAACAGCTTTATTGGGTGTTTTGTTCATTGTTTTAGATTTTGCACCATATAGTTTGGCACTGTAAGCTACATTCCCTGCAACGAATGGCAGACAAAGTTAGCAGCTAGCTAACATTATTTATCAAAATGGCATTCAAAATCTAGCATGTGAAGACTAAGATATTTTTCTTAGAAGACCAAACTAGAGCTAAATATGAGTGAATATTGGACTTGCATTTCTCAGATGGCCCAAGACACAACTTGTAATGGATGTTAATGGTTCCTCAAGTCTAGATTAACCTCCTGAGAAGGTATGGGCCCCGATTTCAACACCACTATATGTGGCCAAAACCAGTACTCAAGAGCAGAAATGATTAGTTTCATTTGATTAGTCGATCAAAGCATTAATTGGCAACACATTTAATATTAGATTCTTTTTTCTTTTTAAAGGAAAAATGCCAAAAATTCACTTGTTTGAGCCTCTCAAATGTGAATATTCATAGCCAAATAGGAAAACAAGCACAACTAACAACTAAATAAAATAAAGGCAAATAAGCAAAAAACTAATCTTTAACTTGGGCCTCAGAGAATAATAATGAGTTTTTTTTCACTATTTCCTCATATTTTATACACTAAACAATTTGTGTATTGATAATGCAAATAATTGTTGATTGCAGCCTGTGTGTCAATCCCTTGACACACATGGGGAAAAAAGCAGTTTGATAGTATTTTGATATTCATATTCTGTTCAGTATAGTTTAAACATGGTTTTAGAAAATCATGGCCTAATAAGAATGATAATGTAAATGAAGCACTACAGTGCCACTGTAGTTTGCTCTTCCTGATATTACTAAAGACCAAAGTTTGCAGAGTTCACATTCCCCAGTGTAATTTTAATGCCTGAAAAAACACAATTGCCTCTCATTTAACACTCAGCAGCCATTGTTTAGTTCAATTCCAAACAGGGAAAAACACTTGCAATCCAGTAAAAGAATGTATCAATTCAGGCTGTTTCAAGGGGCTTTATTGTCATTGGCAAAATGTAAAGAGCAGCATTTGAATATAATCATCATATTAACATAATATCTCAACATATCTCTCTTCATACTGTACCCTCAGGTCCCATAGGACTGGATCGTCCACTTGTGTTACGTCTTATTTTTAGTCACAAACAACAGTCAGTGGGAATAACAGTACCTGCCCGTCCCTGATAGCCTATTGACATTACTGATTGTTTGTTATGGTCTCCAAGGCAGCAGGTACATTCAAACTGTGTGTATGCCATGTTGACGAGAGTCAAATATCAGTCCTGTTGTTGTCTGGGCCTGATGTTTCGCAACCCTGACACTGGGGTACAGCAGAAGAAAAAAAAAGAAGAAAAAAAAGAAAAGAAAAAAAAAGTTAATCATTATCAGTGATTTCTCCGGGGCGCGCTCTTCTGGTAAAGGACCACCCACAAGTCCCCGTCATTCATCTGCTGGAGGTGCTTTTGTCGGAGAGAGCATCACGGTTATATTTTATTCATGGCTGTTGAATCTGTTTTAGCTCTGCGACATAACCCTGCTCCTCTCTCATTACAGTCACCTCTCTCCAATAAACACCTCCAAGACAAACACACACACATTTAAAAGGTTTATTATTCCATCACAATCGGTATAATAATGAATCAACAGGGGTTCAAGGATGTCTGAGAATAAAGTGACAGCACAGACACTCTCAAAACAAATTAATTAAATGATTTCCAATGCAGTGTGACAGGCAACATTCTTCTTCTCTAGAATAAAAGACAGCACTGAAGAAGAAAATCAACTGGTTGAATTAAATAAATAAAAAAAAATGGCACCAGGTTCTTCCCCTAATGACAACCGAAACACCAGAAAGGCATGCAGCATTAACGGACAGGACACGTTGCTGTGGCTCCATCAAATA